CCGTATCATTTTTAGGGAAGAAGGTTAATTTTCTTCGATGGAACCGTCTCAGCAAACGCCCTCATCCGTAAGAGGAATGCCTGCAAAGCCTGTACATCAAAGAGCAAATGCACGCCCAGATAATATGAATGAGAAGAAATCGCTTGTCACTATGCCTAATACGGTAAGTTCATTTTTTCTGATTTTTTTTTTGTAAATGGGGCAGTTGCGCCGTTTACTCACCTTTTTACATTGAAGACGTTCAGTTGCACAAAAGTCAAATGCTTAGTGCTATTTATGAGTTCAAAGTTTCCTTAACAGTTTTTGAGTTTAATTGGCATTTGCGGCTTCAGTTAGCGGTATACTGAGAGCGAACATTCTCGTGTTAAACTAGTAGCTTCAAAAGATTTTTTGCACCTTTGATATCATTGAATAGTTGTTCTCGGTTTACATCAAACAGTGGAAGCCAAATGAAGTGAACATGAGAAGTATTGTAGGATAACCCTTGTGAGTAGTGCTGGTGAAAGAGTCACTCGTCCTGAGACCTGTCACTCCTAATGATTTCCAAAAAACAAGTGCACAATGCTCCGCAAGTGACAGCAAAAATCAACCTTTAGATGCTCCCCCCTTAAGGGGAAGGGGGTAGAGACTGTATTATTTGAAAAAAACTAATAATAATATGGATTCCGGAGAAAACTTGTCTCGGGATCAAGTTCTCCAGTTTTTCGTCATTCCTCCTTTATATAGCTGGAGGTACAATCGAAACCGATTCAACGTACAAGGGTAGGGTGGCATAATTTCTGAATCTGCTTCATAACAAGTCCGTCCTTTATTCTTGAGATTGTACCACCGTAAAGTTCCTTTGTAAGCTTTTTTTTGAATTGAATTTGTGTGCAACTGCCATAAAGATAAGATTTTAATTATAGGAATTTTGTAAATGCGATCTTCTTCTGAGTAAGGTGCAAAGTCAAATAAAACTGCGATTTTCGGTCACAAAAAACTCAATTCGCATAGAAATGCTGTTTTTGTTATCCTCCGTTGCATGATTTCTAAGTTATATGATTGTGTAAGTACCAGCAAATCTTTCAACAAGGCTAGCCGGTTCAGAACGTACTCTCTGCTGCTTCCTTCATCCTGTAGCGTTTGATTTTCTTATTGTAATCTCTTGTTCTCTGATGCAAAGTCTGTCCCATTTTGTTTCACGTTTTCAGGACTTTCTGTTACCTTCAATTTGCCGAATTGCTATATCTTTCACTACTTGTTTGCTTCCTATATGAATGGAAACTGGGACAAACATCAATGATCAAGTGCTGTACTGTCTGGCGCCGTTTTTTACGCTCAATTGTTTGCAGAAACATCGCAAACTGGCTACTGTAGTAATTACGAATTATGGTTATGGTCTCTAAAGAGTAAAAAAAAACATGCGAATTTTGATAATATTCGAGCCAGTTAAAGGCTCTGCATTTGTTTTTCGCAAACGTTGCGGTTGTTTGAGGTGTCGATTCAAATTTCCTGATACATTGGCAATAATTTCGCCATTCTTTAACTTATCACTGCAGTGGGAACAATTTTTGCTCTCTTTATGGGTTATGGGGGACGATGTCCTTATCATGAATATGTCATTCATTTTTGGCTTCATTGTCATTTACCCCAGCGCTACCCTTGCAAATTTATTCCATCAGGTTCGTCATGAACATGCGTATAGGCGGTTTTTTATTTCGTAGACGAAAATATGTACGTTGATCGTATTTCGAGGGTGAATGTCTGAATATCTAAACTTTTGCAAACTTTCTGTAAAATTCCATACATACGTTTTTTTTTTTNTTCCACTAAAAGGAGGAGTCTTATCGTCGGTTTGGTTTAATACACTCGCTGCTTAATTTCTTTGTAATTCAATAGATCTAGGATCTTGCAGATGACCCCAAAATTCACATCCTAGTAGTAAGTAATGCCACAGAAGTGAATCTTCGATTAGTTAATGATCAGATAGCGGAATGGTTTGAATCAAATCATATTCTGCTTTTTATTGAAAAAATCAAGTTTTAAGTAAAGCTGGTCACTTTTGAGCATTCAACGAGATTGTAAGACATAATGTCTCTTGGATCGAAAAGATCACGAAGTACGACTGAAATGCGTGATCTAAGTTTCCTCCAGTTTCCATGGCTGGGCTCTTTCCCTTTCCTACCATTTTGGCTTTTCGTAGAATATCTATTCTTTTCAAACAATCCCACCACTCTTGCTCTATGTTCGCCCCATTCCTGAACCTATCGCTCCTTCGCTGCGTCCGTCTAAAGTGTTGTTGTATTTGTTGTATTGCTTCGGGGAACAGCTGAAGAAAGATTTGTCAGAAATTGGTATGGAAAAGAAAAAGGATCGATTTCCAAAGGCCTCACGAGATTCTTAACAGTGTAACTTCTCTAGATGCTTCCATGTTTTGTTAATTGTTCGTTCTGGTACGCGAGAAGTTTCAATATGTACGCTAATATTATAAAATAGTTTAAAAACCTTTTCGTGGAAAGCTCATGCCTTTACATGGGAAGGGTTGATCTCTCAACTACTTACAAATTCTTAACCGTATATTTATAGATCAAGCCTCTAAATCAATTTTAGAATTTTTATTTTGTTACGGTTGCGATAGTTTTATACACCATGATTTTTCAGTTTTCGGCATCAACCAGTCGTGCGATGAATTCTAGATTGGCAAGAAACAGGACAACGTCAGGTGAATCTTTTTTTCGTGATTTGCACTGGTCATTGATCAAAGTAAATAGTATGCCAACATTTTAATCAGTTCCCACTGCGCGTGTCAAATTGTGTGCCCACATGCTAAATTCCGTTCGTGTGGTTGCCATTCCGAGCAATGATTAGGAGGTGGTCTTTTGTATAAACGTGGGCTGTAGGCTATTACACATCCCTTGTTTTTATTTAACTTCAGCACTGTATTTTTGAATTCGCCCACTATCCTGTGATATAACAGGTTATATGCAAGAGTGAAGTCTCGTCGCGCTTCACTCTTCCTTTTTTTGAAGGTTGTTTTTGGTTCTCTATGAATGATGATTGCCGACTGAAGCTGTAATTGAACTTTACTAATTTATTGTTTAGTGGTTGAGCACGAAACCGAAACTGTCCGGGTTTACTACTTCGGCGCACATCTTCCAGGGTAACTCCCAGTTCCAGAAGCTCTTTCATTTGAGATGGACTCAGAAGTCACGTGGTTCACACTTCCATAATGAAATAGATCATATCATCCCCAATCAGATGTTCTGTCTAACCGTCTTTGTTGCTCCCAAAGGGTCTATAAGTTGCCAAGAGACGACTCTCTTTGAGAATTCTCTAGCTGATGCACCAGCGTGGGATCGCGTGAGCTACATGCAATCATCAACTAACGTAGAAACTTGCGAAGCTGTGCCAGTTCAGACTGGAAAGAGCATTCGTGAAGCCCTATGAGGTATAGCCAGTAACGCCAAGGTGACTTCCCTCGTCGTCCTGGCGGAACAGCAGCAACATCCACCTGCCTACCTGTCAACTTAGGCAAGATGGATAGATCTCTTCTCAGTTCCTCATTCTGAAACTCGACATGCCCTCATATCAATGCAGAATTTCACGGCGCCTTTTATCAATAGGAATACCGGAGTGTCGAAAGATCCTTTCACCACTCAGTAGCGAAAAATGGCTCTTCACGCAGTCACACGAAATGAAAACTGGTAAGACTGTGTTGCTGTATAAGAAGGGCGATCCCAACATTGGCAAAAATCGCCCAGTGGGCCTACTGTTAGTAGTCTGTAAACATTTCACGCGAGTCATCCCTAACAGAATTGCCAAAACACTTGATGAAGGCCAGCGTGCGAGCAAGCAAAGATCCGGAAAGGATTCAGTACATTGGATTGAGTCCACCTTTCACAAGACCTATTGTAGTATCGCGAGAGGGCAGCATGCCCATATGTGAAACACTCATCGAACGCCTTTGATACTGACGAGACAGAAACGGTAGTTGAAGCCTTGAGCGACTAGGGTGTCCGTACTCAATTTATAATGTAATGTATGATCAATGTGATGCCTGGGGAGTACTACCACAACTTCTCACTAAAGATCTCTATAAAGAAGTGAGAGGGGTTCGACAGTGCGTTACCGACTCGCCCAAACTTTTCAGGTTCTACTCTCGGGAACATCATGCGTCATTTGGAATGGGAAAGCGTGGGAGGCAAGTTGTGAAAAAATCAGCTTGCGACTTAACTTAGGAGTGTTGAGATATGAGTTCCCTCGGAAAGTTCGAGGACGCTCGCTGTCCGCGGATGAATTCTTCGTCTGTTCTGTTGACATATTCCTGATTAATGCCCATTTTTCCGGTGACCAAGCTTCTTTGAAGCAAGTCATGAAGATTTGCCTATCTCTCCTCCCACTCGTGTGCATGTTCCGTCCTTTTGTGAGCGGGGTTCCCCTTAGCTTATATGTGCTTTGCTGATCTTTCCCGAAACCTCACTCAAATCTGACCCGACCTCTTTGTACTTCTTCTGGTGATACCGAATTTCGGGACGGATAGGAGGGAATTTAGTTCTTATAGGGAGTAATGATGATGATTTTATATGTAGCAAGTAATGGTGGTGGTTATAAATTTATGTGCACTGTAATAAAATCCCAGAGAAAGCGATAATGGAAGGAAGAAGAAAATGAGAAATGAGAATAAATATGGGCATGTTGTAAAACGGTTCTCAAAAATACAAGAAACAAAGAGACACATAGAAGTATTCGAAAAACTATTGAGGAAGTTGTTGAAAGAAATGGGGGAGGGGCGGAAAATTATACTCGGATGTGGGAAGAGAGTTGACGGATATAAGAAAAAGGACTATGTAGGTGGGGAAGGGGAGGGGGTCACAAATTTTTCTACGCCTTAATTTCTAAATTCAGAATCAGCCGTGATTCATGGGAAACATGCTGCCACCACGCCACTCGTTTTTGATCAGGAAATCACCTTGGAGGGAAATAAACTGGTTCACCTTCCACCTCAATCTCAGGCAAAGGTAAGTACAAACCTTCCTCATCGACATCATTTATTTATCATTCCTCTTATTTAGTAATTGACCCAAATTTATTTCGTGAGTCCGCCTTTATGATATTAGTTGTGTGCATTAATTTTCGCCGCCAAATTCCAAGGGCCGTTGCGCGAATCATGTTAGAGGTTTATCGGTGAAACCTGTCATGTTCTGTAAGGTAGGGTAT